TATTTTTTTTAGAACAGGAAATCTTCAAGTTTGTCGAATATGTTATTCAACTAGTGATCTTCAATCATTAATTGCACCTTGTCAATGTTCAGGCACAATGGGTATACTTCATAGAAATTGTCTTGAACGATGGCTTGAAATATCAAATACAACAAAATGTGAAATATGTCAACATGAATATGATACTGTACGATATCCAAAATCATTATTTTATGTAACTATACTTTTTAATTAGATCATGTAATTTGATTTATTTAAAATAGTTTTTTATAAATCCTTTACGTTCATCAGATATTCGTTATTTAATTACTGATATTATTTTATTCATTGTTTTAACAATAATTGTTAGTTGGTAAAATTTTCTTTCCCTCTAATATTTAATAGAGATTTTTTGTTTTAGGTTAATAATAACTAATATATCAAAAATTAAAATCGTAAAAACATTTCATGATAGAATATCATATATTATTCTTCCATTTGCAGTCATTTTTATTTATATTATTTGGTGTTGGGTAAAATAAGAATTCTATTTTTTGATTTTTTAACTCGATTATTTTATTTTAGGTTAGTTTTCGTTATCATATTCAAGTAATTAAAGAATGGCGTTCTGTTAATCAACCAATTCGTGTTATTAACAAGAAAAAATTAAAAATGAATTCGAATGAAAATTTACTCTCAAGATCAAATCAAATACTTGATCATGATAGTTTATATAGTTTAACCAGTCAAAATGAAGAGAATATATTGCCGGATATATATATATTGTCAAATAATAATTGAAAGAACTATTTATAAAAGATTGCTAAAATGATTTTAGTTAATGTTTTATATTTAGTCGTGATCGATAAATAATAGATTGAATATTTAATAGACAGAAGAATTACTTTTTTTTTTGAACTACTTTTCTCTTTTTTGATCGTTCCAACTTCAGTCGGAAGGCGTAGAATATTGATTTTTTAAGTAAATTATCGAGAGTGAGTGTATGAATATATAAGGAGACATTTGAAGATAACAATGAATGAAAGGACAAGGTTGAACGGTTTATGAAGTATACATTAATTTATGACAAAGAGACATATCGAAAGTTAAGATAAAGATCTCTAAAAAAACTAAGCAATTAAAATTATCTGGTAATGTTATAGTTCATTCGTTTTAAATAATATCTTTTTTTGGATAGTTATAATTTTTCTTCTTCTGTCTACAACAACTGAAGGCAAATCGATAAGAAGATTTGATACTGTGATAAGATAATGTGTACAATATTGAATTATATATAATCTGAGTAGAATAAAAGTCGTGTTTTTTATCTTTAGAAAGTTTATTTGACACTGTCAGTAAATGTTTTTTGTATTTAAAATTCTATTGTGCAGTATTAATCTGATAGTTTGTCGAAGGGCACATTCTAGCCGATAAAACAATAAATCATTGTTTAATAGGATTTCAAATATAATTCATAATGTCAATATATATATATATATATATATATATATATGATTGATTCTTTTTTTTTGCTGGCGTTCATTATTCTTCTTCTTTTTTTTTGTTTCATTGAACATCAACCACGCCTTAGATATTAAAACATATTGAGAAAAGAAAATTTAATCCTTATGAAAAAGAAAACGAGAAGAACTGATTCATGGTCACATAAATACAAATATGAGTAAAGTGGTAAAAGACAATATTAGAATAATCGTAAAAAAAGGAATAAGAGAAAAATAAATTATAAGTGAAAATATGAAATGTATGACAAATAAACGAAAGATTGCATAAGGAATAATCACTGATACGATGATCAATGAGCAAAAAAGAAGAAAAAAAGTCAAGCAACCAAATGTAAATTTCTCTATAGACAAGAATGAAGTCATTTTTCTTGTGTAGAATTGAAATAAAATAATGTTTGATGATTCATTTCAAATCTATAGAACTTTTAAGTAAATGTTTCTTCTCGTGGATAAGCTGGTTCAATATTTGGAATAGATGGTGACATACCATTTGGTTCTTGTTCGTTCATAGCAAATGATCCGTGATTATTATGTTGATAATGAGCAGAAGTCGGATGTAAATCCGATCGTAGTCTTTGCGGCGGTGAAGGAGCAAGTAAAGCAACCGAAGTTTTCTTTTGCATATCAACAGCTGGTAATTTATTCACATCAATTCTACCTTTATAAATCACACCATCATGACCTTTGATATCAATTTCATTTCTATATTAAATAACAAAACATATTAGAATGATCTATGTATATATTTATTTTTATTTAAAATTTACTTTGGAACGGTTGTTTCTTCCGCTACCGTAGGTCTTTAAAATAAAATAATATTATTTTATTGTTATGAATATAGAGATCATTACTGTGCTTTGATTTGCCGTTTAAATGGTAGTGTTGTTGTATGTGAACCACCACACTGTCGCATAGTTGCATATACATCTGCCACACCGCCGCTAAAATCATTGCTAAACTGCTGACTAGAAAATTTTAATAAAAAACAAAAAATAAGATTTCAAAAAATTTTGATTAAGAAAATAAATGAACCTCTTTTGAAATTGGCGTATTTGGTCCAGTTCGTAAGTTGTGTATGGTCGGGGTGACTGGATGGGACGCATACCCAGATTTGCGGGAAGACTCGGTTGCTGTCTAGAAATTAGGATAACAAAAAAAAACAAATGTTTAGAAATAAATCTAGATTAAATTTCGATTAAATGAAATCATAACAAACGACACGAACGGGTGTGGTTGAACATCAATGGGGCGATCACAACTGATGCAATGAAAACGAATAATTTGCTTTCGTAGACCGGCTGCCTCTTCTTCCGGTATAATATGTGTATGTTGTTGTTGTTGCTGTTGTTGATTCGTCTGTGGATCTTTCTTCAATATCACGAAACATGAAACAAATACAGACAACAATAAAACAAGAAAACAAATGAATAAAAATACTTTCACTTTTCAATACTTTTTGTACAGTGACAAGACAAGGGATTTAATTTAACAACAGTCATAATATTATTTATAAACTTACCGCTATTTTTTTCAATTTCTTCAATTGTTTCTCGATATAATCACGTAGAGCATCAAGTTCGGAACGATTTATTTTTTCATTCATATCAGTATTTATTTTATCTAAATCTTGTTTTTGAATATCATCCTTAAAAAAACAAAAAAGAATAAACTTTTTTCTTATGTCTTTAATGATTATGCTAAATGTATATACATGAATATTAAATTTCTGCATACAATCATTTATATTTTGTGATAATTCATTACAAGCAGAATTGAAATCTTTTTTCAAAACTCGATTATCAATATCACGTTTATCAGCTTTCTAAAATATAGAAAAATATGTTTTTTTTAATACATAAAAGAGATTTACTTTATCAAGTTCAGTATTAACAGTAACTTTATCAGCTTTATTTTGTTCTAATTGATCAATTAATTTTTTTAATCCCTATAAAGAATAAATTTGATTTTTATCTATGTATGCTTATATATATATATAGAAATGTTGATTTACATCAATCTCTTGTGAAGATAAATTTCCTTTATTAATTGTTTCTTGAACAAGTTTTTTGAGTCGATCAAGATCTTCACGTAAACGTTGTAATGCTGTTCGTAAATCTGAGATATCCTCGGAATTATCCGATCTCTATAAAAGAATAAATAGACGATATTATAATAAAAAATGATTTTATTTTTTATTATCAAATACCTGTAGCTGACGATCATCTTTCACTGGACTTTCCTATAAATAAAATTAATTAATTCAATCTTTCATTTCTTTTTTTTTTCTTTAACAAATATTTTGTTTGACATGCTTGAAGTACATATCAATCACTGATAGTATTATATAGTATTCATGTTGGAGAAGAGGAAAAAAACGAGCCTTTTTTTCTTTTTAAGTAGAATCGATGTTTGACTACTATCTACAAATGTGAGACCATCTGGTATAGTTTCATCATGCAGACTTTGTCGTTCTATTTATTATTGGTTCAACTAACTAACACAATGGTAATGATGATAAAGGTATTTTCTACGTGTTTTGTGTGCTATCTTTCTCTCTCTCCCTCCCTTTCTCTTAACATAGTCATGTTTTATGTTCATTTCTTTTTCTTCTTATCTCAGATAAATTACATTCATTTTAGTTTCACCTAAATAATCGTCATACACATTAACTATAAAGGTGTATAATCCTATCGTGAAGACCAGCATGATTCGTTGTTAGAATCAATTCGTATTATGCTGAGAATTTACGATATGAAATTCACTTTAATTGCGACTATTTTCTTATTTTTTACATTATTAAAATTTAGATAAACATTCGACTGTTTTTCGTTACTACCGTGTATATAAAAAATATTATTATGAATTAATTTTTTTCTAAAATACTTAACTACAATCAACTACTTGAATGTAAAAAAAAACACAAAATACGATTTCAACTATTTCCATGGATTCTCATACATATATAATAAATCTACGCACTTGTAGAAAAGAAATAAAATTGCATTTTGAAAAAAACAAAGTTTATTTTTTATGTTTAAATCGATTTACTTACAGTTCTTTTCGATAGAATATCTTGCAAATCACGTTCAAGTGCAATAAGACGATCAAGTAAATCTTCATGTTGATTTTTAAATGCATCAAATTCATCACGATTAAGTTTTTTATTCTGAAATATAAAAAAAAAGAATTTATTTGATAGAAAAAACGTTTTCTTTTACTTACTTCAAGTGCTTCAACTAAAGCTCGTAATTGTTCATGTCGATCATTTAATGTTCCTAAGTGTTCTAAAAGTTTAACAAGATTCTCTGATGGTAATCTTCCTCCTTTTTCACCAAATGTTTCCTTTACAAATAAAAAAAGAAAAGAAATTAAATGAACATAGAAAACAAAATGCGATATTTACTAATTTATTGAAAGAGAATTGATGATCGTGTGTTGAAGCCGTACCAGGTACAGCATTGTTTATAGACTTTTCTAGTGCGTCTCGGTTACCTGTTAATGCATCTTCTAATCGATCCCATGTGATAAAAGAAGATAAATCAGGCATTGGTTGAGCTTCACGAGCCTTTTTGGATACATCATCAAGACGATCTCGTAATGAGTTCTTCAGTGGAAGCAATAGAAATATATTTCTCATATAAATAAAAAATAACTTACAAGTAAATTTTGTAAATTACGAATTTTTTCATCTAAATTATCGACATCAGATTTTTTAGCCTTAAAAATAATGAAAATAATATTAAACAAAAGAAATAATCTTCAGGGAATAATATACCCAATCCTTCTTTTCTTTATTTAATGCATCGACAATATTTTTTAAATCATTCTGTTGTTTTTTAAGTTCATCTGTTGTTTGTTTAGCAGTATCATGAGATTCTCTTAAATCATTCATATCCGATATAAGATCTTGAAGTAATGAAGCAAGCTAAAATTATATATACGTATATATGAAATAAAGATTAAATTCATCTATATAAATATGTACTCGTGTTATTCCATTTTCAGCTGATTCAAGACGTTTTTCTAATTGTGTATATTGCCAAACTTCAAGTATAGGTCCATGACGATTTGATGTTTTAGAAGAATTATTATCATCAGATGTTTTTTTAGGCATTTGTTTAGCACGATCAATTAATTCAGAATTTGATGGTATTTCATTGAAAGCATTTAATTGTGATTCAAAACGAGATACTTTTTCTTCCAATGTTGTAAGACGATCTAAACTTCGATCACGTTTTTTACGTTGTGATTTTTGTTTTGCTTCATTATTTGTATCATCACTCTCATCAAATTGATTATTTGATCCATCATGATCGAATTTAACATGTTGTCTTGGTGTTGTTGTTGTTGTTGATAAAGCTTCTTTTATTGTACGTTGATCATGATCAGACATTGCTGGTTTATGATTAAATAAATTCATTGCTTTAAGCATTTGTAAAAGAAGAGTTTTTAGTACATTAAAATTCACAGCACCTGCCTCAGGATCTCCTAAGGACAGATGAACTAACTGTTCAAGTGAAAGTATATCAGTCATCTAGAAATAAAGAAATGTATAATCTTTCGTCTAAATCAATAAAAATTATTGAATGAATAATATGTAAAAAAGAAAAAGGGGTTAATTGATTATTCCAAATGATATTTATCAAATTTTTGATGAACCTACCGGTTTTCTTCTCCTGTCAACTATTTAGTTTTCTCTTTTGTCTGTTCTATTTTATCATAACGATCCGAGCCTATACACACATACATTATGTATATAAATCATTCAATGTTTTATGTGAACGCATGTCGATTTCTTGAAATAGAAATAATTTCTTTCGATAAGGTTTCTAATCATTCAAACCAAATGGAATAAACAACGACATTGAAAGGTTGACAAAAGAAATAGAAAAGCTTACTCTCATTCTTTCTCGGCGACGTTTTTCATTTCAGTTTTTTTTACTTATTGTTGTCGTCGTCAGTCGACTGACAAAACGCCAAATCTTTCGTCAGTTTTTCTTCTTCTTCTTCTTCTTTTTCTGCATTTTTTCTGCTCATTATTGTTACCTTTCCGAACGATACATACTTCATATGCGAAGAGTCTTTTCTTTCTTTTTACTTCTTATGCTAAATTTATTATTATTTTACTTAGAGAAAAAAAGAGAACAAAAAGAATAATCGTCATTGTTATGTTTGTTTGCTTTGTAAAATAAGATTTTCTTTTTTTCCTTCAAGCAACCATTTGCTGTTTCTTTGCCCATGGTTCGATCTCTATGGATAGGGAGTATAATTTCTAAAAATATTTGGTAGCTAGCGCCATCAGTAAAGTTCTTAAAATTATAATTTCAAATATTTTAAATGTTTTGACATTGTTTTACTAAATCAAAGTTCGATTTCTCTTCTTCGTCTCATAATCATAGCATATCTCCGAAGTAGAGAAATGTTAAGGAGATTAAGTCAATGTCGATCGGTTAGTGTATAAATATATTTGATTACTAAGCAGAACAAAATAAGAAATATGCAATGTAATGATTATAGTTGCAGAATATAACAAGAGAGAAAGATACAATCATTCATAAAAAGACAGATAATGTACGAAGAAAGCATAAATCATGATAACAATGGTATTCAATATTTTTTCTGGACAAGCTTCATTTTTGACATTTTTTAACAATGCATGAAAAGCATTAAGATATATATGTACTCGTATAGATAAGATCCATACTAAACATTATTGATCTTTTGATTTAGGCATCTAATTTCATACTGATAATTATTTTGTCTTAAAAATCATTTCAATACATACATTCTTTTAACTAGTATAGATTTCTCATTCTGATAATATTGCCGATACATGAGTATCTTCAGATTAGTGAATTAAGATGTTTGTTTTTTTCATATATAATTCTCTTTTCAATATATAATAGTTTTCTTAATAACAACAAATACATGTTTTCTTGTACAAACGAACAAATAATACAGTACATAGATACATAAAATAATCGCCAAAAAAAAATTTAGAACAGTTAAAGTCTTTCGTTTCGATGAGTTTATTGTATTAATTTCGTTCATTCAATTCGATACTAAAGACAGTAAAAATAAATCATAACTAAATATGTTTACTTTAACTTACTCAACATGATGATCATCTATGTCACTATGATGATTATTACCATTTGTTGATTTTGCTTGATGATTTTCAGTTACTGGACTACGTGAAAATCGTTTTCTAAAAATAATTGATTTTTCTAAATAAAACTAAGAGTAAGAAAAAAAAATCTTTTCTTACTCATTCTTGCCATTTGGTGAGCCATGATCACTACTATGAGAATCTGATTTTGATTCAGAACGATGACGACGACGACGACTATGGCGTTCGTCGTCTCGCCCAGAAGTTTTCGTACGTTTTTCTCGACGATTATCTTTTCAATATAGAAATATAATTTAATCAATTTATTTAAGTAAAATAACAACTACCTCTTGGTGATGGCGATCGTGATCGTGAACTTGAACTTCGTCGTCGAGTATTTCTACCTGATCGTCGATAACCTGGACTACGTGATCGACTTCTATAAAAATAGAAAGAGAATTCTATTAAACTTCATTTTTCAAATATTAACTTTTAGGGATAGATTTAAATTGAAAAGATATTAATTTGAGAATTTTTCTGTTGACCTTTATCGATTTATCTAGTAAAATGTATCTACTCTAATTACATACCTTTATCTCTTCTGTTTCTCTTGCCAAAGAACACAACTAAATACAATCAATCCACCCAATGATAGGTCAGAAATAGAATAGAAGGAAAAGAATATACAAAGAAAACAAGATTCGAGCACAAAACCAACTGAATTCATTTTCTTAATACGGATGCTGCTCCAACCAAATCATTCATATTAAACACCATTAATCATCAAACAACTAGAAAAATAATGAAATGTATATCGAGAGAATATAAAACATATCGAACACAACAACTCTTTCGATTCTGCGTAATTAAATTGCAACAGTATAGAAAAAAATCAAATTCTCATCAAAAAGTTTTCTTTCATTTCAAATAGATTACCTAGAATAACGACGTTTACTATATCGATCATCACTACGACGACTACTGTATGAATCACGATAACCACGACGATATGGAGGTGATGGTGAACCTAATAAAATAGATATATTTATATTTCGTTCGAGAAATGAATGTAACTTACGATAGAGTAAGGCATTGCGTGGTCGTCCTCCATAGTTTCTCTGACGAGCCCAACTCAAACCAACTCGTGAACCACCAACAACTCTAAAAGAAATATATGCTTAATTAATAGATGAAATGATTTATATAAAACATTGTAATGTAAATACCCAATATTATAATTATGTTTTAATCAATCAGATCTATAACATGTCTCATAAGTTCTGTTCACCTCAAGTAACTAAATCTAGACTGTTCTCACTAATTTATAATTCTAAACTAAAACTCATATGAGAATAGTATTCTCTTTCATTGAAATCAATAATACTAATATAAAACAAGATCGTGTTTAAAATTTTCTTTGTTTTACTTACTTTCCATCAACTTCTTTTAATGCACGTTCACCATCAGCTCGATGACGAAAATTAATAAATGCAAAACAAGGTGGATTAGAAGCAACCCAAACTTCATTCAATGGTCCATAGGGTCGAAAGAGTTTTTCAATTTCACGTCGACTAACACCCATCGCTAAATCAGATAGATGTAAACGATGACCACCTTCACCATTCTAATAAAAGTATAATCACAAGCAATAAACTTCTTTTGTTTTCTCGATAAAATAAATTCATACCCAATTTCGTGCTTTAGCTGTTCGACCTGAACTAGTTGAAGAGAGTGATCCTGAACGTGAACGTGAACGTGAACGTGATCTTGAATACGAACGATCTCGACTACGACCCATATTTTTATATAAACAAACAGATAAAGTAATCTAGAATAACCAACAAAGACTAGTCAAACTTGGTACAATACACAAGAACAATCAAAGAAAAAAAATTCTTCGTTTCATAAGAGTAAAGAAAACAAAACAAGACAAAGAAAAGTATAGTTCATGATGAAATTCATTGGTTCTGTATACACATTTTCAGAATATTAATTTCAATCAGATCTATCATCATTTTCTGCATATCTAAAATAAAAAAATAAATTTGATAATAAAATAAAAATATAGTTATTATTTCGTTAACCTGTGAACAACATTAGTTGCTTGTTGTTGAGGTGAACGATCTCGTGATGATGGTCGGTTACGACGTGGTCTTGAAAGAATAAATATTTAAATTCAATATTATCAAAATATTATATTTTACTTTGGTGATGATGATCTTGATTTTGATCGTTGACGATAATCACGTTTACTAGATTGAACTGGACTACGTGAACGAGAATATCGTCGTCGTCTATCATAACTTCTATTTTAATTTAATTAGAAAAAAAATTGAAATCAAAAATAAAACATTTTAATTTTACCTATCGTCTTGTCGTGGTGAATACCGACGCCGATCTCTTGATGAATTATAATCTCCTCCACCTCCACCTCGATATCGATCACCACCACCATTATATGTAGGAGCACGACGACCACCAATTGTACGTTTACGAGCAAATGAAACTCCAACACGTGAATTATCAATTAATCTAATAAAAAAAAGTCAAAGAATTGTTTAAACAAGTCACAAAATAAATAAACTTACTTTCCATCCATTGCTTGCATAGCATCTTCAGCATCATGTCGATGTTTAAAATTCACAAATGAAAAACAAGGTGGATTTGTAGCCATCCAAACCTAATGAATTAAAATAAGTTAAACGTATATTCAATTAATATTTTCTTTTAAATAAATACTTCATTGATTGTACCAAATTTCGAAAATATTTTTTCAATATCACGTCGAGATGTACGTGGATTAAGTGGTGATATATGTAAACGATAACCTGATTCACCATCCCATTTTGGTGCTTGAGCTGCGCGACCACTATGAAACAAAAAGACTTTTTTTAGAGAATATATTTCAAAAATGTTCATACGATGATGTTGATGACAATGAATTTGATCTTGATCGTGATTTGGATTTGGATTTAGATTTTGATCGTGATCGTGATCGTGATCGTGATCTTGAACTTGCTTCACCACGATTTCGGCTCATCTTTTATTTCTTTTTCTTATTTTATAGAAATTATCTATCTAGAAATAAAAGTCTTTCTCATGAACAGAAAAAATAGAATTGACGGACTGACATATGACAATAGGTTCAACTTTGAATGAATAATATACAATCAAGAAATGAAAAAGAATAGAGGTTGGACAGGTGTGATTATTAGTGATATTATAATCTATTTTTCATTCCAAATAATATGCGAACAGTGTAAAATTTAATTCTGACTATGATAATATAATGTACTTCAAAAATAATTTATTAGAGGAACGAAAAGAGGGCGCTATTATACAGTACATTTATCAATAGCTAAAATAATGTAAACATTTACACATAGAGTGTGAACAGGGAAATGAAATAAGAATTACTGATATAAATCATCAACTTTTTACGTATCAATGTATTCAAAATATTGTATAATTATCTTATAAATACAACACTAGTATTGATTAGCAGAAATAATATGAAGGAAGTGATGGCTAAAAATTGTGTAATCTAATATGTTATTTTAAATACGATATTGATACTTAACATGACTAGTTCATTATAAAAACCAACACTATTCACTAGTTTCATTCATTATCTTCATAGAGGGTAAGATATTTCAAACAGATACAAGCAGTGAAGTTAGATACTGATATTCATATATGAAATTTTCGAAATTGCTGACTTTATGAACGTTCTTTAATAGTTTGACGTGAATTAGTTTCCTTAAATAATATTGAACCAACATCTTGGGGCAAAATATTGAACTCTTATATCTGAATCGAAAATCTATATTTTAACAACATCATATGTATTCCTTAGTTTTATATAAATCGTTGATGTATGTCAATATAATATAGAAAAGAAAACTTAATCGTAGATACGTAAATTTTATCATTATAGAAGAAAGAAAATAGAAACTCCTATTTTATTTGGAAAAATTAAATACTCATAACAATTATATATAAGTGTCCTATGTGATGAATTGTAATTATCGTTAAATTAAAGGAACGATTTGCAGATAAGTTAAACAAAAACGTTTCCAGGAGAAGAACTGTCACTCAATCAATTCATGAAATGCCATATTCAATATTCTAAAAGCTTCAAATAAATAATTGAAAAAAAAATATTCATTTAGTATATAAATTTATTTCACGTCAACGTTTTTTTTTCTGTGGAGGAAAAATCATTTATTGAGATTTTAATTGAAAAAATACGTAAACAAATAAGAATTGATTTAGATTACTCATAAAAAAACAATCAAAAATGTATTCATTGTAAGCGATAGAAAAAAGAAAAAGAAGATTGTCGGAAGTTTGCCGGTGTTTTGTTTTCTGTCTCTTTCTGTGTTCATTATAAAAGAATTTAATAAAATGATCGTGATTGACAAAGAATAGTAAAGAAAAAGAAAAACGAGAATTATTCATTAATTATTCTTTGCATTTTTCTTTTTATTCTTTGTACTTGTTAACATAATCTAAATTTACTACTTATATTCTATTATATCTTGAAATAAACGTTTTTGATGAGATCATAGGATAAAAAAATTCTTCTCATTTTTTTAGATTATCAACATGCCTGAGCCAATTGCTGGTGATAGACAAGAAGCTGAATTAATACAGCATATTTTCTATGGTAAATTGGATAATTTACCGGGCCTTGCATCAAAAATTGTACGTATTTTTACTTCATCAACATTTACAGGTATAGTTATTCATATTTTTTATTATAAATGAAATAAAAATCTCTTTGGATTTTAGATACAAGTATGGAACGTAATTCTCTCATGCAACATACATATCCACAACTAAAAGAATATTGTCGTGAAAAACATGGTTTAGAATTTCAAGTAGTTGATATGCGTTGGGGTGTACGTGATGAAGCAACTGATGATCATAAAACAACAGAATTATGTATGCAAGAAATTGATAATTGTCAACGAGTTTCCGTTGGACCAAATTTTGTGGTGTGTATATATTCATTTTAATCTTTCCTAGTCAGATGCTATCATTGATTCAATATGTCATAACGAATTGAGTTGTGTTGATGATATTTAATATCAGAAACTCTGAGTAGCTAATTTTCTAACAGAGAATCATTATAAGTTGAGATTATTTACAAATAAAATGAAATTTACTTCATCTATAGGTATTTCTTGGTCAAAAATATGGTTATCGACCATTGCCAACAAAAGTTGAAGATGCTGAATTTCAAATGATTTTATCTGTATCAAGTAAAGAGGATGCTAGATTACTTAATCAATGGTATAAACTTGATTCAAATAATATTCCAAATTTATTTTGTTTACAACCAGTTAGTTCAATATTTACTAATTTTACTAATAAAGCACATCCTCGTCTTATGGAAGAAGATCAAAGTCAATGGTGGGAAACAATGGGTAAACTTAATCGTGCAGTACGTGTTGCTGCCTTGGAACTTTTTAAAGACGGTCGATTTACAGCATTTGATAATCATCGATATAATTGGTCAGGTTAGTTATAAATGAAAAATTTTCTTATTAAAAAAGAAAAAACTATACTTTTTTCTTATTTATTAAAATTTAGTTACTGAACAAGAAGTTGTTCGAGGAATATTAAATGCTAAAGATGTATTAGATCATACATTAGCTTTTTTTCGTCATATTGAAAATATAAATATTTCATTGTTACGTCATTCAATGAAATTTATTGATATTGCAGCCAAACAAATTGATGAAGAAGCTCAACGTATGTTATCTGATTTACGTGATGTTCGTGTAAGTAGAATAATTAATTTCAGAAAAAAGAAGAGAGAGAGAGAAAATAAAACTTTTCATTTAGGTACCAGCAACATTACCTGCATCAAGTATTATTCGATATACAGTACCATGGTCAGATGACGATGGTTTAAATAGAACTGTTCATGCTGATTATTTACAAAATTTTATTGATACATTTTATAAACGAATTGTTGAACTAATTGATCGTGGTGTCGGACAACAAAAGAGTTTATCAGCAAATCGGTAAAGATTGATTTATTGAATTAAATATTAATAATTATTTGGCAGGGTTGGTTAAATATATATACTGCTTACATAAATTTCACTAGGATCTTGTAACAATGAAATGAATTTTTAACTTTAACTTTTCGTTAGAATAAGACGAAATCTTAATATCTTTGTTATGTAAAAAGAAATAACATTTAATTTTGTTTACTTTATAGTGTCTATACTGAAATTCTTCAACAACTTCATGTTGTTAATAATTTTAGTCAAGATTTTCAAGGACGTGCAGATATTCTTGAGCGTGTACGTAATTATATTCAAGGTTCTTCAAAACAACCCGTAGTTTTATGGGGTGAAGGTGGTTGTGGTAAATCAAGTATGTTAGCTAAGATAGCATCAGAATCAACATCTTGGTTTCCATCAAAAACATGTACACCAATAAGACTTGTTCGTTTTCTTGGTACAACACCAGATAGTTCATCAATTGGTCCATTATTACGTAGTGTTTGTCAACAATTAAGTTTATTATATCAAGTACCAGATAATACAATACCCGTTGAATTATCTGCATTAACAAATCATTTTAAACGTTTATTAGAAAAAGCAACAGCAGATAAACCATTATGTATGTTCTTTGATTCGCTAGATCAATTATCATCAGCTGATGGTGCACATTCAATGTCTTGGTTACCACCAACACTTCCAAATCATGTTAAACTTGTACGAATCATTTTCTTTTGATTTTTTTTATTAAGAAAAATTATTTCTTATAGGTTATTTCAACATTACCTGGAATATTTAATATATTAAATACACTTCGAAATATAATTGATAGTCGAGAAAATTTTATACAAGTACATATATATATATATACATGTTGATAAATTTTATTTTTCAAATTTAGATAAAACCATTAGGTGAAGAATTAGGCAAAATTGTGTTAAAAGCTTGGTTAGCTCGACAACATCGAACAATATCTGATGTGCAATGGTTTGTATTTTCAAATGGAATATTTTGTTTTGTATATCTTTGTAATTCAATAGGTTATTAGTTCATGAAAGACTTACTGAATGTAATACTCCATTATATGTTAAATTAGTATTTGATGAAATTAAATTATGGAAATCTTATACACAAACACAAGAAAAAGATTTAGCTACAACAGTATCAACATCAATTAGTAAATTATTAGCTCGAATTGAAAATCAACATGGACATATTTTAGTTGAACATGCTTTATCATATATAACAGCATCAAAATCAGGTTTAAGTGAAGCTGAATTAGAAGATTTAATATCACTTGATGAAACAGTTTTAAATGATGTTTATCAATATCATTTACCACCTATTCGACGTATACCACCATTATTATGGACACGTATAAGAAATGATTTACCGAATTATTTAGTTGAACGAGAAGCAGAAGGTGTTAGTGTTGTTAGTTGGTATCATCGACAATTTGCAGAAGGTAATAATGATATATTTCAAGAAAATATTTCGTAAACACTTCTTTTCTTAATAGTTTCCAATGAACGTTATTTATCAAAAGAAGATGAACGTCGAACGTATCATTCTCAAATGGCTGATTATTTTCTTGGTATATGGGCTGGTTGTCCTAAACCATTTCAATTTACTGATAATCAAAAACGTATGTTTAACCTAACATCAACTGATGGTGAAGCTGATCGTAAAGTTCCAGCACAACCACTTATATTTACAATAAATAATGTTGCAGCAGAGACAACAACTGTTCGTTATAATTTACGTAAATTAAGTGAATTACCATATCAATTAATACGTGCACATCGTGTAGATGATTTATATACTCATGTATTATTTAATTATGATTTTATGCTTGCAAAGTTATCATGTATGCCTTTAAATTTATGTATTTTTGATTATGAAAGTTCATTTGAATATGTTTTTGACAAAGAAGTAATGATAACTAAATGAAAAATTTCTTTTTTTTTAAATTCAATAGATTTTTTGTTTCGTTTTAGGTTAAATTAATGAGTGATGCACTTCGATTATCAAGTTCAGTGTTAGCTTCTGATCCAACTAATTTAGCATGTCAAATTATTGGTCGTTTATTACCATTTTATACAACATGTCGTAAAATAGCTTCATTTATTGATCAGTGTGAAAGTACTGGTTTACAACATATGGGTCTTGTACCTGCTTTTAATAATTTAGCATCACCCGGTGGTCCACTTGTTTATTCATTAGAAGCTCATCAATTTGCTGTTTATGGTCTTGAAGTTGTTTCATCTGGTCAACATCTTCTTACTGTATCAAATAAATTTATTGTTTTTGATTTATCAAGTGGCGATATTGTACGAATAATTGATCCAAAAATCGAAGGTATTATGACATTTTTAGCTGTTGCACCTGATCAACGTTATTGTGTAACAACAACTATAAGTAATCAATATATAATATGTAATTTATTAACTGGTGAATTTATTTTACGTAATTTTCAACCACCTACAAATAATCAACAACAAGCAGGAGCCAGCATAAATAAACCTGCTAATAAACCAAATGCTGGAACACCTGCTGATCCTTTACTTGGTGCAGCTGTTAGCAATACTTTTTTTGCATTGTGGACTGCAAAAATGTATCAAGTATATACGAATAAAGGTATCAATGCATAATACAAACTAATGCACCTTTCAACAAAATTCATGAATATAAAGAGATGTCGTTGACATATATTTCTGGAGTAGCATGTAGCACTTTCTTCATAAAAACTATTGTTCTTCTTTGCAAAGCTTAGTAAATTTAACAAAATCGAAATTTATATTTTCTTCTAGGTGAATTACTTACAACTCAATCTACGCGTTATCAAATTATTCAAATTGAAGTATTAGAAGGACCAGAAGTCGAAATAGTTTGTCGTTCTGAAGATGTTAAGGATGATCAAGATGTAGCGCGTGATCGTATGACAATAGATTATTGTTTTGTTCCAAATACTAATCAACAAACAGAGACAAATGATAATAATCCACCACGTTGTTTAACTGGTGGTAGAAAAAATATTCATAGTGCACTTGTATTAACACGTGATAAACGACGTATGTATACATGTTGTGAAATAAATGATAATAATGTTGAAATGTATCTTAACAAACCACATCCAACTAATTATGCAACTGAACGTGTATGGGCATTTGATCATCAATTATATGAAAATAAAGATCGGTAAATTGAGTTTGAAACAAAACTATTTACTTTCTCTTTTCTTTTTTTTAGTGTATTTTCATTTATTTTAAGTAATGATGAAAATTATCTTATGGCAGTTACATTTAAAGGTTTTAAAATATTTTCATTTCGATCATATCTATGGAAAACATGTTTATTACCTGGTAGTGTACGTAATATAATGAGTGGTACAAAACGTTTAGCATATACTGCTGCATTTTCTCATGATAATCGGTATATATTCTACACGATATTCTAGTTCTCTTATTAAAATATCCATATCTTATTTCGATTTTAGTTATTGTATAGCATGTGTTAAATCTAGTGTATATATGTTTGAAATTGAATGGGGAGAATTAGTTGCATCATTTGATTCACATTTTGGTCGTATACTTGTTTTAAAATGTTTATCAACAGCTAGTGGAGGAAATAATTATATTATAACAACGGGTATGGATAAAACAACAAAAGTATGGAATTTACAAAATGCAAAAGAAAAATCTATAACAATAGCACAATTAGATAAAATTATTGAAATGATGCATATTTCAACAGATACACAAATTATATTGGCACAATCACGTACACAATTATGTATATTTGATATGAAAACTGGTTCTATATTAGGACAATTATCTGCTAATAAAAATGGATCAATTTATCAATGTACAGCTATGTGTTCAAATGGTTTATTTGCAGTATCAGCTGAATCCGGTAATCTTGTCTTATGGGATATTGAAGAGCGAAAACCAAGTTTTGTAACACCGTTAAGAAATATTTTTCAACTTCTTCTTCATTCAGCTGAAACAATGGTAAGAAGAAAATGAATTAGAAAAATCTTTCAAATAAAATTGTTTTGAAAAAATTTCCAGGTTTTAGTTTTAACTTGTGAAGCAGCTGTAGCACCTGTTCCAAGTGCATCCGGTAATACTCCTTCAAGTAATGTTCCACTTGGTCAAAATATTCTAGCAGTTTCATATGCAATACCTGATGGTGATGTTATCTATGAAATAATAACCAATATAAAACGTATGCATCATCCAAAAAAAGTTGTATGTACAGCCGATGATATGTATCTTGTTATTATTGAAGAGAAAAAGAATACGGAAGTTCTTGGACTCTATGATCCAATGACTGGTGAACATGTATATAATGTTAAATTAAATTATCCATCCTATAGAGATATTATTTCAATGGTTACAATACCAAAACAACCATATCTTGTTGGTTTAATAGATTCGGAAAAAGGTGTTGTTATGAATCTTCGAGATAAAAAGGTAAATATATATTTTTCTTTCAATGTGATGCGAGTAGTATTTTCTATTGAATCTAAAACTAATACCATCTTTCGATTATAGGTTCATATAACATTACCAAAATGGGGTGGTCAAATATCTAGTGATGGAAAATATGGTTTATATGCTCCAACTCGTGGTGGTTTAGAAATGTTTGAATTTCGAAATGGAAAAGTTGCTAAAACATTAATTGGCAAAGTAGCTGAAGGTGTATTTGATGTGTTAACATTTTTTACTCCAACTAATAATCATGTTATATATTATAATAAAGGTAAACGTACTATACGTGTATTTCGTACAGTAGATGGTCGACAAATTGCTGATATGAAATGTCCAGCAAAAGTTCGACAAGCTATTGCAACCCAAGATGGACGAGCTTTAGTTGTTGGATATGAAGATGGAGCTGTACAAGTATTTTTAATTATTGATCATCTCGAACCATCAACTATTGATTATTTAAAAAGTTGGAGAAAACGTCAATATGGATCACAAATAGAAGCTTTGCAACGAGAATTAACTGAAAAACAAGGTGAAATAACAACAACGACATAATTTATTTTTCATAATTTCTAACTTATTTTATTTCTGATACATATATATATTGTTTTGTTACGCTTGATTGTAATTTCCGGTTTATTTTTTATGAATAATAATCTTTATATTTTCTAATATCTATAAAAGAAATGAATTAATTATTCTAAACTCTTGGGTGCCACAATATAGAACGCATATTTTTATATGTGCATGTCCAATATTATAAGAAGGTCATTGTACTCCTTGCATGTTCGATTTAATTACATTTCAACTCTGTGATATATCTTTGTATAACAATAAAACAATTTAGATAAAAATACCCGACGTTTTTCTTGTAATTTGTTTTCTTACAAAGATGTATAGTGTGAATGCTCGATTAGTTCTTTCCTTTGTTTTTTATTATACGCTGCTAATAATACATTTCAGTTGTTTTTAAATATACTATTCATAACAAGTAAGTTTCTAAACATGTTATAGATCAAAGGATACGTTATTCTAAAAGTCAATATGTCAAAGGATACTCTTGTCAATTTCTTTTTTATCAGATACAATACATGCGTAAAATAATAAACAAAAAAACGTTAAAATAGTTTTTATATCCTAAATCTTATTCTTCCAGTCGAGATAAATATATTATAAAAAGCAATGTGTTTGTTACTTTCTCGATATAAAAGTATAGTAGTTTAAAGCAAACGACATATTCTATGTATATGCATGTATATTTACATCATAAAGTGAATAGACAGTTTATGTTGCAATGAAAGAAAAGGTCTGATAATATTTGTTTCTATATAAAACATGGATAAAGATCTATTTTTTGATTCTCGAGGTCATATATTAATTTTTAATTACAGTCTGACAATCACCTGGTTTTTTGTAATTTGTTTAATGTTCCGTCTATTTTTTGCTTTTTAACTAAAATAAGAAACAGTTATTTTTGAATCAATTTATTAAATTACTTTTTGTTTTTTACTATGAGACTATGTCGTCAATCAATCTTTTCCTTGTATGTGTAATATTCTATCCGTGCATAAAAACTAAACAACAAAAAAAGCATCTGATTTAAATGTCAAAGAGTTTTTACTGAATGCCAAGTAGAAAGTTGTTGTTTTTCACACTAAATTCATGAGAAAAATTGAGTTTCTAAATGAAATGTGGGTGGATTTGGGTAACATAACAGAGTACTCATACGTATCCACACCTACACCCGCAAGATATATACATAATCGAGTCGAGGGAAATTAAAAGTACTTGGAAAGAATCGAAATTACATCATCAGAAAACAACGTATGGAAAACACCTCAAAGCGACGGAAGAAAAGAACGATATATTGTGCTTGTGAACTGTATGACAGCATAGCAGAAGAATTTACTCAGTAAAAGTTTATTTTATTGTGCAAAAGTCAACTTCGCGAATAATTAGTACTCATAAAAAAACAGAAAGAAGTCAGAAAACATGATATATCTGTTTTACATTAAAGACTTAAAAACATTTGTTATTAGAACATGTTTACTCGTTAAGATTTTCTCATAGTCTTTGAGCTCATTTATAGATTTTCTTATTGTTTTTTGTTTCTTTTTTTAACGAGAGATAATAATTCTTTAACATGCAATTTAAATTATTTTATCTAGATTCTTATATTACATTGAAACACCTCTTCAATATAAATTACAAGTTCCTGTTGAAGGAAGACAAATAATTATATAATGAAACTTATTAAGTTATTTAGTTTCACATCACATTTTAAACATAACGAGTTTCCATAGATAGTTTTGCTTTAATGTCATGAGGTATATTAGAATAATAATGTAGAAAAAAAAGATATTTTTCAAGTAGCAAAATAATCTACAAAAAACAAAATTCTTCAGTTTAAACTAAAATAAGTTTGTATATGTTTCTTTTGCATAGTAGTGCCATCTTTCGTCCTCTTTGATTTTGCTCTAAATTAACTACGAATCATTGTTCAAGTCATTAAACGTCTGTAAATAAACATGTAAATATATGACAAAACATAATCGATTTCTTTTTTCTTCTTTATTAAAAATGTTTGATTAATTTATTAATTCAATTATTCATTTTTTATATATTTAATGATCGATAATCCATCATTAACAACGATTAAAATGACAGAAGATAATTCAAATGGTCATTTTAATCCTCCATATAGAGCACAATCAACATCACAACTTTTAACACCTGATTCAGCTTTTGTGAAATCAATATCATCAACACCATCACCTGCTTCATCAACATCATCTCTTGTAATGTCAAACAGTCCAAAAAATAGTTTATCATCATTTTTAAAAATTCCAATGCCAAATCGAAAATCAACTGTCACACAACCAGTAGAAGATCGTTTTATTATGACAATTATTAAAAGTCCATCCACTAATACACAACGTATATCGTCCAATTCTGCAAATGATCTTGCTACATCATCAACAACAACAACAGCGACAACAACACAACAATCAATAACAACAATGAATGAAGACGTATCAAATAATAGTAAATTTTTTAAAAGTAAAGTAACAGCAGCATTTAATCATATGAAATATCGTAAGTTTAGAAATTAGAATCAAGATAAATTCTTATTTTTTTTCAAATTTTCTATCTAGGTTGGGTTGTAAGAATGCGACCAAATTTTCGAACAAATGAATCACCAATTTATTTTCTTGGAAAAACATATAATGGAAAAGATGGTAAATAAAACAAGAAATTTTACTAATTATTATTCTACAGTATTCTAATAAGAATGAGTCAGAATAATGTTTATTTATTTATTTTAGAAACAGCATATGATGACATGCCACGTCCGCATAACGAACAATCTTATACCAGTTTTTTAAAATCTTTTTCACAACGAATTTATCTGTCATATAGAAAACAATTCGAACCATTAAACGGTTTAACACGTAGTGGTGATCCGATAACATCAGATTGTGGTTGGGGTTGTATGATACGTTGTGCTCAAATGTTACTTGCTCAAACTCTACTTATTCATATGACAAATACAATTAGTTTGCCTCATTCAAATATTCAGATAGCCGATAAATGTAATATTGAAAGAAAAAGAAAAATGATTTATTTTGTTTATTGTTTAAGGTCCACGACGAAATTCAATAGAATGTTTTCGAAATTCTAATCGAACAAATCGACGAATCAAAATTTATACTGATATTATTCGATTATTTGGAGATTATCTAAATGATAAATGTCCATTTGGAATTCATAAGTGATATTAAATCATATAAAAAATCAAAACCTTGTTTATTTATTTATTTTTTACTACAGAATTGTAGAAATTGGTACAGCACATGGTATTCGTCCAGGTGATTTTTTTGGACCAGTCAGTGCTGCTCATTGTTTAAAAGAAGCTCTTGAAACAGCTATTGAATTAAATCAAATATCAGATAATCTTCGAGTTTATATTAGTCAAGATGCAATTAGTAAGATTTCATTTTCTTTCGATTTTATTACTTAATTTTATATATATAGTTTATCGACAAGATGTTGTTGATCTATGTACAGCTCCATCTAATTTAATAAAAAAGAAATCTCCCCCATCTACAAATGAATCAACAACAAATTCGACTAATAATAATTTATTAAGTTGGACAACATCATTACTTATTCTTGTACCATTGAGATTAGGTTTAAATGAACTTGATTTGATTTATGAACCTTATTTAAAAGATGCATTAAAATTAAGTCAAACAGTTGGAATTATTGGTGGTAGTCCTCGACATGCTGTTTATATACTTGGTTTTCAAGATGAAAGTTTTATTGATCTTGATCCACATTTTAGCCAAACAACTGTTAATGTTCTTGAAGATACTTTCGATTTAACCGTAAGATATAAAAATCAATCTTTAATATATTGTATGACTTTTCTGTTTTCAAGAGTTATTCATGTTCATCACCAAAAAAATTAACTGCAAGAAAAATGGATCCAAGTTGTACATTAGGATTTTATTGTAGAGATAAAGCAGATTTTGAAATGTTTTGTGCACAGGTAATTTAAGAAATATTTATTTCAACAAAATAACGAAACAGATTGAAAATTAGAAGATTTTTTTGTCACTTGAGAAAAACATATTGATATAATCATTATTAAACACATTTCATATACTAATTCTCAAGAGATTTTTTTTCAATAGTTGTTCATAATACTATATTAGTAATTTTTTATTTATGAATTACACAGGACTAGTGATTATTAATAAATCAATGAATAATAAATTGTAAATGAGAATGAATAATAATTTGTCTTCATAAATATATTCAGAATATGAATTATTATTTTTTTTATGATTTTAGTGGAATCGTATATGTCATATAGCAACAGATGATCGACGTCCATGTCCAATATTTCGTATTGAACATGGTACATTTCAAGAAAGTCATACTCGTACATTAAATATTGATTATTCATCATTAAATGATGAAGAGAATGTTTTTCTTCGTGTAACGAAATTATCATCATCAGGAGGTAATTCACCATTACCATCAAATAATCATAATTCCAATCAATCAAATAAAAAAATGAATTCATCAACACATCAATCTTATGATACATGGAATGATAATGGAAGATTATTGAATGACAATACAACGAAAACGAATCGTACTAGAAAACATTCATTATCGGATGATTATGTATTTTTATAGTTGATGAGAATTCTTTTTTTGCCTTATTATTTCTAGTCAATGTTAATGGTACAAAGAATTCTTTTCTTTTATCGAGATTTAAAATCTTCTGTAAATTTTTCATTTCTCTGGCTTTCTATATATAAATTTATGTATACATGTATATGTACGTTTTTCTTTCTCTCTCTCTCTCTTTCATTCTTTTTTTGGTTGGTGAGTGGGTGCTGTAAGATATAATTATCTATGTATTCATATGTCCGATTTTTAATTTATAAGAATGAAACATTGATATTAGTTGTTGTATTTACGGACTGTTTTTTTTTCGTTTTAGATGATTTCAACATTGATTATTATCTTGCAAGTATTCTATATTTTAATTAAGAGAATGTATTTTTCTAATCAAAAAAAAATTTTCTTTTAGCACTTTGTTAATTAATGCTGGAGCAATTATTAATGTTAACGTGTATTTATAATGAAAAAATCTGTCTTAATGATGAATCAAATTCTTTTCATTTTTAGGAAACGAAGAGAAGCTGGTTTTATTGCCGATGATCCAGGAATTGGTAAGGAATAGAAATATAATAGTCTACAAAGCGGTCTTTCTTTTTTTTTTATTCTTATGGAATGATCAAATAAGTATATGGTATTGCTCTGATGAAGCAGAAAATGAATACTTGAATCTTAGAATGACAAATACCGAAATAGGCGATTTTGTCAAGCGTTAAATACGAAGAAAAAATACATCTGTGAATGATGACTTTCATGAACCGACTATTTTTTTCTTCTAGAAAAATAATATATAATTTTTTAAATTGTGTAATTTTTACGCTATGTTTCATTCTTTACTTTTGACAAATAAATTTCATTTTAGGAGATAAAATACGTGAATTTTTGGCAAGTCTTCAATATTTTCGAGTATTCATTGGTCTTTGGAATATTCTAATTATATTTGCCATGTTTACGTAAGTATCTCTTACTAATAAAACTTTATGACATTAACTATTATTTATTATTTTCAAGTTTATTTGGTTATTGATTTATCATGGTCATATATTCAATAGATAATTGACAGGACAATGTTAAATGCATATACATATATGTTAATACCTGAGGTTCTTTTTTCTTTTGTTTGAAATAAAACGTTTTCTTTTAAAGTTTTATTCTTGTCTCACTTTTTTTTCCATAATAAATATTTATATCTTTTGTTCTAGAGAAATGTAACAAATGTATTGACACATCTGTGTCATTTTTATTGCATCACTATGGTTGAACTTTTTCTTCTTACTTAATATTTCATAAATTTAACTCCTTTTCAACATATAATTACTACTTGTCTTTCATCAACATATAAATTTGCTTTGTAGTTTTGGTGACAATCTTGTCGCTTATTATTTGTTCAATACATACATTCAACCAATAACTAAATATGTTCTTTTTTTTTTGTTCATGAACAGAAAAAAAAACAAATTTATTCCTTTCTTCTTTCTTCGATGAATGTACGTCTAATATAAGTCTTCCCATTCTCTTTCTTCTCATTTGTAATGTATATATATATATATATATATATACGACCTAGAAACAACGTCATTACTATCTGCAGAATGGATGAATGGTTATGTTAGTAACAAACACATAGACATAATAGTGATGATTATTAATCTTCATATAAACCTATTGTTAATATCAATGAAATAGAAGCTTACATATTTTTTTTTAGATTATAAATCGGATGTGTGTCGATGTCACCACAAACGTCAGAAAGACAAATGGTGACTGTACCACCATCATATTTGTCAGATGCCGAAACAAAAACAAAAAAGATACAATCTCATCATCATCGTCGTCGTCAAAAATTTTGCACAACACAACGTCTTCCAGCTTTATTTGCTTGGCTCCTTTTATTAACTACTTCATTTGCCTATTGGATATGCATTTTCCCACAAATCCTTCTTCTTCTACCAAAACTTTTACCAATTTCAATTTTACATTGTGTTTTATTTGTTCTTGTTTGTGCAAATTTTATACTTGCAACATTTATGGATCCAGTAAATGATTCTAATAGAATTTTATAACAACCTATCATATTTATTTGTTCTCTAGGGTATTTATGAGCAATCATTGAAAAATGAATATACATCCGTCAGTTCTTATACTCATCCAAAAAAACGAAAAGGAGGTGTTGATGTCAATGATAATGATGATGATGACGATGATGATTTTGATGAACCACAATCACGTCTTATTCGTATTAGAGATGGTAAATTTTCTTTTTTTGATTATTAATAGGTTATATATCTGATAAAATATCTTATTTAGGATCTGTTTATCTAAAATATTGTCGTACATGTAAATTATTTCGCCCTCCACGATGTTCACATTGCTCTATTTGTGAACGATGTATTGATGTAAGTTCAATTATCTGACTTGAATTAATTAATATTCGATTTAATTATAATAAAAAGACAACCTTCTATTCAATTGTTTTGTTTTTATTTTAGACCTTCGATCATCATTGTCCTTGGTTGAATAATTGTGTTGGTACGTAATGATTTATGATCGATAGGAAACGAGACAAAATGTTCTCATTTTTTAGGATATATTTCAAGGTATTAAAGAATCATATAATAGAACTTTTTCTTCTCTATAAAATTATTAACTTTGATTTTTAAATATATTCCACATTTCAACAAACAATAGAAAACGTTTGCAAAGCAAACGAGTAAAAGTTTAAACAAAAAGTTCATTTTGTAAATAAATAAAATTTGCATAAATAACAGATGCTTTATGAAACATAAGTTTGAAAAAGTACATTTATAAATAAAACTCTGCCAGATGTTAAATATATATCTTTTATACCTGAACAACCCCGTCAAAAACCTTTTGAATAATCTTCAAATTATAGAATAGACAGAATCGCTATTTGCTAATACTGCATACTTTATATAGAGAATAAAACGTTCCACAGTTGAATATCTATTAGATTTTTAAAATCTTGAAATGAGATGAATATTTTGTTTTATTAATTTATGCATTCTATTTTAAATATTTTCTTTTTTGAAATAGGTCGCCGCAATTATCGTTATTTTTTTCAATTTTTATTTTTCCTCTGTATACATATGCTATTACTTTTCATATTTTGCCTCTATTATGTTCTACATGATCGTCATCATAAATTGCTTACACCAAATTTCCTTTCAATCTCATCAAACACTCATTTACAAAAAAGACAACAAGATTATTCATCATCAGTCTTCTTAAATAAAACAACATTTGTTGGTTTTTCGGATTATCGATTTATTGTATGTATTGTATTACTTGTTCTTCTTGGTCTTATGGCAATACCAATAGGTGGTCTAACTGGTTTTCATATCTATCTTATATCACAAGGTCGTACAACAAATGAACAAGTAACGGGAAAATATCGTATACAAAATGATGTATTTAATCAAGGCTGTTGGAAAAATTTTTGTCGTACTTTATGTCAACCATTATATCCTCGATTAAGATCTCCGAAAACTAAACGATATAATATTGATTTATTTGAACAAATGGCATTTGGAAATATGAAACATAAAATACCAACAACTAATGAAGATGAGAAAAAGAAAATGGTTTATGAAGAAAATGGTAAACTAAATAATATGACTAATGTTCAAATCAATCCAATAGATGAAAGAGGTTAAAAGATACTTGTCTTTTTTCAATATAAACTACTAGGCTAAAAATGTAATAGACGAGTTATGATTTGCGTTAAATTCTTATATTTAGTAGAACAACTAGTAGTTAATTATGAGAAGAATTTCATTTGTAAAGATTCACATATCATTATAGAACGGTGAAGCTATTAAAATGACACGGAAATACTACAAAATGAATGTGCACTTGGTTGATATAGAAACCTAAGAATAGAATTTTAATATTTCAGACATGTCTCATTAACTATAAACTATATGAACAAACTGTCACTACTTCAATAAAGACGGATGTTTATCATTAACAATCCATCAAAAAGAATAGTTTATTGAACTGTTTGACTCAAGCACATAGCGCAATAAAATTATTAAGATTTCTTCTTTTAAACCTTGTTGTAGTACTACTTTCTTACATGAAATAGTATTGTGCTGAATGCTTTAGTAGATAATGAGATTTTACTTTTTGTTCATCATTGATAATAATCAACAAATCTTTTGAACAATTTCACAAATATTCAAAAATTGCTTGGGAATAAACAAAATATGAGTTTATCTCTACATCTCTCTCTCTTAGATGCATGTGAAAAGTAATTAGTTTCGCTTGATTAATAAACCAAATAATCATTCAATAATTTTATTTTATAGTTCGTCAATATACTAATCCACTTCATCCTGCTCAACAAAAAGTAAAAGAAAAAACAAATTTTATTTTCATTCTATTTTTATATTTTACTGTTTAATTTAAAGCCTCCATCAATAGCATCATCTGCTTCAGTTACATCTTCATCATCATTCCAACCTGTTAAAAAACCTTTATTACATCAAACAAAAAAGCCCGAATTTGATTCATTACGTCGTAGTTTATCAAATATGTCATTATCATCACGTTGTTCATATGATAATGTTGATGGTAATGAAGATGATATTCATCAACCATTACCTTATTATGTTAATAATCCTAATAATAATAATAATTCTAAACAAATGAAAAGAATTTATATAAATCAAAATTCTGTTCAAGCTGACAATGTATCAACAAATAGTGCAATGACATTACGTACAGATTCTTATCGACAAGCTCATCCATTACAATCATTTGCTTATGATTATCCTAAACGACCCTTATTACCTCAATCAGTACAAAGTACTAATCAACAAAGTCGACGTAAAACAAATGGAAATAAACATTATGAAATATCTGTTTAGAAAAAAAGAATTGAATTATTTCTGTGATTATCATAGATATTTATTTTATATTGTCAATTTGTTTATTAATAGAATTTTTCATTAGAAAATAAAACTGTATCAGGATTCTTGTTTTTGTTGTTATTATAATTTCTTTCAAAGGGGGAAAAGAAAATGAACTTATGTATGTGTACGTGTGTTTGTGTGTATGTATATGTATTATGAATTTTTGTTTTTTGTTTGATACTTTGTATTATACAAAAATGAAACATTTTTGGTTGTTGTTGTTCTTTTTTTTTTTTTTTTCTCTTTAAAAAAGAGACAAAGAAAAACAAAACTCTTTACTTGTTTTATTTATTTATTATTCTGAACATCTATCACTACATAATTTACATTCACATCGTACAGCAGAACGATATTTAACTGTTTGTAATCGTTTATTTTCACATATTATTTGAGTTTCGAATGACTTTATACGATTTGGTGAGCAACAATGAAGATGATGTTTATGTCGATAATGTAATGGTGTATATTTCCAATCATATATGAGAAAATCTTCTGAATAACATTGACCACGACATCGTGTAGTTTTTATTGATATTGAATTGTTCGAACAATTCTGAAGATATATTGTTTCGTTGTAAGATTCAACTTGACAATAATGCATTAGTGGAATTTTCGATGTTATTAAAAGAGTTAAATGTATTAATAGAAAAAAAACAATAAATCTTCCAGACATCTCACTTATTAAATGAAACTAGGTAAGACTATTAAAAATAACGTTAGAAAGAATTTTCTTTTTCAATTATCCTTAAGTCAAATTAATTCATTAGTTCATCTTATACGGATACTAACTTACTTTCCCTCATAGATTATTATTTGATTTAAGAGACAAATTCAAATACATTCATCATCCTTTTTTTTCTACTTTATTTCGTAGCCAATGAAAACAACAACAAGAAGAATAATGAAGAACAACTATAGTAGTAATAGTAATAGTAGTACACATATAGAAGAAGAAGAAACAGACAGAGAAACAGTTGTATACAAAAAAATAGAGAGAGAGAGAGACAAGCGCGAGTTTTAAGTGTTCAAACATCTTTTTTTTTCACATACAAAACAAGAATGTCATTCTACAACAATATAACAAGTAGTACACAGAAAAAAATTCTGAACTCGACAGAAAGGATAAGGGACGGTCAGAGATTTTCTTTTTTTTTTGTTAATTTATTCTTCATCTTCTTCATCATCTTCATCATCATCGTCATCATTATCTTCATCCGATGATTTAGATTTTGATGCCGGTTTCTTTGCTGCACCTTTCTTTGGTGATGCCTTTTTGCTTGATGAGGCTTTTGCTCCACCTTTGCCACCTTTTGCTGGTGAACTACTAGCTCCACCACCACCACTTTTTTTATATTCAGCAACACGTACTTCATATTTTTGTTTTTCAACAGCAGCCTTTTGTTCATAACGTTTCTTAGTATCGTCACTAAACAAGAAAAAAACAAAGGATTTAATAATTTTTTTAAATTATTTTCCTTTTTTCTTACGTGACTTTTTTCCATCTTGCACCAATTTCTTTCGAAATATCACCAACTGATAATGATGGACTCTTTTTTTTTATATCCGGACGTTCATCTTGTGAAAAAAGAAAAAACGCAGATAATGGTCGTTTTGGTGCATTTGGGTCTTTTGCTGCTTTTTTTGATGAACCAGACGTACGAGGCATTATTTAATAATAGATTGAAGATCGTTGCAAAAAAAAATATATATGTGAATATATAAGAATCTACAAAAAAGAAAAAAAAATTATATATATATATATTATGTTCAGGAACATCGTCAACGAACTAACAAACTGAACACTAACTATCGAATAAATACGATCATTGCTCTCTGTCTCTCTTTCTCTCTCACTTCTCTAGATAAAGACTGCCAAATAAATGAATGAACAACGAAATTAAACATAGAGAAAGAGAGAGAAATGTGACCCAGTCAGTCAGTGATGTTGTTTCTCTTTGCTGCCTAGCTCTAAAAGGAAGAATCGACAGCGAGAGAAAACGCACACACATGACGTATATATGTGTGTGTATATGTGTGTATGTCTTTGCTTTCTCGTCTCGCTTCTTTTTTTAAATATGAAGCGCACGCTGTAGCGGTCGTGTATGTGTGCAAGGAGCTTTGCTTTGCTTTGCTTTGTGTGTGTGTGTGTATGTATGTATGTTCGTCTCCGTCTGCTGTGTATGCGATGGCGAATGATGATTGCAGCAGCAGTAAAATGTGTAGAGAAAAACGCGCTCGCAAGCAAAGTGCGAGAAGCACAATAGGGGCCCTTATGATGCGTTGCATATAATAGTGTATGTAAGGAAGAAGGAAAAGGGAGGGGTAATGGTTGGTGAAAGAGAAGAATAATCATAAAGACACCACGACAGCGAAATAGCTTGCTTGTGTGTGTGTGTGTGTGTGCACGTATATACGAAAATGTAATAGCAAAAGCAATTTTTTTTTTATATGAAGAAAAAAAGAGGCAAACATGATGAAAGTTAATTTGTTATTTAATGGAAAAAATGTATCAACGAAAAGAAAAAAGAAAAAGAAAATCTATTTTAATTTTAAAGGCCAAGAAGTTCATTTATAAGATAAAATAAATTTAATTTAATTGTTGAACTTTAAATTAAATAATTAAAATATTTATTTAATATAATAATGAAAAGAAAAAGTCAATTTTAGTTAATCAATTCTAATGATAAAAGCATGAAATTTAATATATTAAAGTAAATATTTTACAATTGAATTATTTTAGATTGTATTTTAATTGAGAATGTCAGCATCCAAGTCATTAAAACTTGTTCTTGTAACTGGTGCAGCGGGAAAGATTGGTAAATATTTTGCTGAACATGCAAATAAACAAAAATATAAACTTCGTTTAATGGTTTATATTGATTTATTAATAAATTAAATCTGTATTTTTATGTATATATAGGTACATTCAATTCATGAATCCGAAAAAGTCGATCCGTTAAAACCATTTGGTGAAATTATTAAAGGTGATTTAGACGAGACAGAAACATTGGAAAAAGCATGTAAAGATATTCATACAATTGTTCACTTGGCTGGTGATCCTGATCCAAGTGGAACATGGGATTCATTAAAAAAATCAAATATTGATGGGTAGTAAAAAAACAAAAATCATCGGAAATTGTTCAATTTAATTTTCTTTTTATTATTTAGTTTATATAACATATTTCTCGCCGCAAAAAAAGCTGGTGTTAAACGAATGGTTTATGCTAGTTCAATACATGCTATATCTGGTTATCCAAACGATGTTCAAGCTAAAACAAATGAACCACCAAATCCAGGAGATCTTTATGGTATTTAATAGAAGAAACATTTTTCTTTCTTATTATTTCTTTTAAATAGGTGTCACAAAATGTTTTGGTGAAGCACTTTGTCGTTATATGGGTGAAAAAGAAGGTGTACCATCAATAGCTGTTCGTATTGGAGCATTTCAAGAACATGCATCTGCACAAAATAAAGATTCTTTAAATATGATGGATGCATGGTTATCTCAAAGAGATTGTGTACAATTACTTGAAAGATGTATTGATGCACCAGAAGATTTAAAATTTGCTATTGTACATGGTTTATCACGTAATACATTTAATCGAATGGAAATTGAATCAACACGACAATTATTAGGTTATGATCCACAAGATAATTTCTTTGAAGAATCAGAAATTTTTAAAAAATTGAGTATGACTGATGAATTAGCTGAACATAGCGTTGAGTATGTAGAAAATAATAAAAAGAAATTTAATCTTATAATTATTTTTTATTTTGTTTTTTTAGGGATGATCGACAAAAGTCTGGTCTACGAGATAAATCACCAGAGGATAAGAAAAAAGATAAGAAAAAATAGATAATCGATAGAACGAAAATAATCAATACCCACCGTTAGATTCTGTTTACGAATGACATTATGGGAATTTTTTTTAATCAAGCTCAATAATGATAATTTATCTATTCAAGCAATCTAATTTTACAATTTATAGACTAGTATATTATAATCATGCTGCATTTGTTGTTTTTGTTTTGATATAAATAAAATATTAAAATAATTGACTTTTTTCCTGCACATTTAATAAGATTGAAACATCATTTGTTCTATATCAATGCTATAAATAATTATTGTTATAACAAATTATTCAGAAAAAAAGAAATGATCTCGTAGTAAAATGTCATACAAATTGAAATTTAATAAATATATAGTTTTTGTTTATTCATTTGTCTATAAGAAGACAGGTAGATGGATTTAATAGAAGAAATAAGGAGAAAATTAGCGAATTGTCCAAAAAATCTATTCTGACTTTGAGCCCGACCTGAAATTATGTGCTCCCATTAAAATGGTTCGTGAGCTTTGGTGGATTATGACGAATTCTAATGTATTTCGTAGTTGAAATATGTGTTGAATTTGACGGATTACAATTCGGATCATTTTCACAAACGTTTTGGTAATCTTAATGATTGAAGTACTAAAATCTGTTCATCAAAACCAACTATTTTCGCATGATGTTCAAGTATAGACGATCGTCCTAATACACAATATTATTGTTGAATAATCATTTATATTTGGATTATCTTGTGTAATTGTTTTAAATTTTGTATCAAAATTTGCAAGAATTCATTTAACATTAGTTAATAATACAGTAGAAAGTAACTTATTTTGTTTACCAAATAAAGTATCAAGATCTTTTTCAATTGATATTGTATATTGAATTTAATTTAGACTTTAATAATCGTTGATCTATTCTTTCATTAAAAACGCTATCTTATGACGTTATTGTTTTTATCGAATGTTCTTCATTTATTTCATCATCTGCTGTACCTTCAATTAGCTTTGGTTTATCATCATCTTTTCTATATAAAGAAATTTCTAAAGAATTTTCTGGAAGAGAATTTGATTGACTTTTATTTAAATCATTTTGTTGTTGATTGTCAGAATTTGATAATGTGAAATCTTTTTACTAAGAATATTTAATAATGTACACTTATCTTTTTTATAATAACATTAGATTTTTCCAGATTTACTTATTTTAAACAAGACATCTATTAAATATTCATGCATTGATATTCAAAGAAATGTGTAAATAATTTCAAATGACTTTAAGAATATTAAACTAATATTTCATAGAAATAAAAAAGATTTGTGAAGATAATACCTGCATATACAAGAATTTAATCATAAAATTCAAAAAGATATGTAAATAGAAAATTACTGACTACACTGATATGTTACAACATCTGCAAAACTGTCCTTTCATATAATTCTTAGTTCTTCTTACGATAACTAATAATGTGTAAGTCTTATTAAAATTTTAAAATATTTTTTTTATACCTTTGATATATTTGCATCAAAAATAAAAGCTTTCTAAAGTTTTGCTACTGTTTGTATACAAATTAAAACTAAAATAAGATAATTAAACGAACGTATTTAATTGATTTAACCATTTATCCATCAATAAATTATCCAGAAGCACGTGCTATAACATATTTAGTCAATTCTTTTCCATACATTGTTGAACTAATTTTAATATTTAAAATTTTTTTTTAATTGAAGAATTTAAACCAAAAACATCGTTTTTATTTAATATTGTATACATATAACCAATAAGACGATATGTAGAAATTTTATTAATTAAAACTGTTGTGATGAGTGATGATGTTAAATCAAGTTCAATATTAACTTAATCAATAACAAATAATGATATTTATATATTTATTATAAAATTCTTTTAATGTACCTTTTCTAACTGATATTGAAATTTTTAATATAAATTTTTCTAATGTATTTAAACGGTGTTCAAAAAAAAA